CAGGCTTTAATCATCAAAAATGTATAGATTTTTGCAAGCTTCTTCTGAGTCAATACTGGTCTTAATTCTCTAAAACCATCATAAATAATACCTGTGAAACTGACTGTAGTCCTAATTGAAGGTCTACTTTTTCATCTTTTGCGTTTAGATGTTTGGTTGCACACATTTAAAATTAGTTCGACCCAAAAATTTCCACATAATATGGATTTGCAGTATGTGGCTTTAAAACAACAACTGATATGAAATTATGTATAATTGTTGCTGTATTTGAAATTTTGCCATTTTTTAAAATCATCTTCTGAACTCTGTAGTTGTGGTGAACAGAGATTTCCGATTTCATTGATATTCAGGATTCACTGTCTTTAATGCTCTGTCTATGTTTTCAGCAATCACTTTTGAGCTGTCTGCTGAGGGGAACCAAAAAGGGTGTGCACTCTCTCCTGGAGGAAATCCTTGCCATCACCAGGGAAATGCTCAGAGATGCTCAGCTGGCCTATCCCAGAAACCCAGTGAGACATCAGACATTCATTTGTAGCGGGAAATTATCTGATTGATGTCATGACATGACTGACCTGTAGGCTGACTGAAGGAAATCTAACTGAGTTTCTGCCTTTGATGCCTTTCATCTCTGCTTCCAGGTCTTACAGAGTCTAAAATCCAAAACTCTTGATATGTCTCGTGCCCTGCAGAGCTACATTCATTCTCATATTTCGGTGAGTTTCTGCAACACATGTACAGGTGTATGTGTGTGTGTGTGTGTGTGTGTGTGCTATCCCAAAAACCACTGGCAGCTGCTTTTTGAAACTGGACACGGATGGCACTCTGCACTGTCAGCTGAAAGAATTCCTCTGCCTTGACATGAGATTAAATGAAATAGATTAACACCCTCTCCCACAACAGCCCTGTTAAAGATGCCACTCAGCCTTTATTGCTACTGTAAAGCTCAATGCTCTCTGAGCTTATCTCTGCACACTCACCCCTAGACAGTAGTTAACGTAATAAATATGTTGAATGAAGTGGCATAAGTCACCGCTAACAGGCTTGTTTGAAGTTATCTTAGCCACACAAACTAGCCAGTGGTTTTGTTGAACCAGCAATGGACACATATAGGCACCACCATAGTTAAATAAAGCTGAGTTATAATCTCTGTCATGGGATCTCGTGGACATGTATGCAGCACAGTGTTCTGTTTAGAGAGAGTATGGATGGAGATCCCCCTTCTGTATGAAATTATTCTTTTCCTTATTCTCTTTGACATTGATGTGTTTCTGTAATGTTTGCAAGCTTTTTCCTTTGCTGCCAGAACTTTAATTTTCTTAAAGCAACAAAGGGGAAACATAAAGCAACACTGGCCCCTTTTGGTAGAGTACACTTGCCACAACACTGTAAGTTAACCAGATCCAGTAAGCTGTTTGCATTTGTTGTCAAGATGGGACATGTGAAGGAAATTATAGAATCAGATTTGTTAGTGACAATTTTTGGTACGGATGCAGTTTCATATTTTTTTTTCATTATCTTTTTTTACAATTGCTACGCAAAATGTTACTATTGTGTTCACCATCCGTAAGACATTTCAGTATGTCCCGCATGTATTTGTTTTTCTTATTTTTACTGCCATTATGTGTCAACCAAAAATGAGCAAAGGGAAATGGCAAAAATATTGAGAAGAGAATCAAGATCTAATATGAATCCCTTTTGTCTCGTTGGATGCACACACTGATTGCCTGTTTGGGCCTTCTGCTACTTCTTTGTTTTTAGCAATAATAAAAAGTTAGAATATGAGAGTACAGTGAAAAGAAATTAAAATGATATTTACCACAGTCATTAAGAATTTACAGAAAAACCAAACAGTTGATTTGCTTTTATGGTTTCTTGCATGTGCATTCTGTTTTGCATGTTTTGGCTTTTATCCATGTAAAAATTGAGTGGAAAATACCAATTTTGTGAATTGCTAAAATGATCAAAGGTAATTATTTTATATAAAATGGTAAGAAGACCCATGTTAAGATCCAATTAAAGCAACAGTTTTGCATGTTTAAATAAGCAGTACTGAACTTAGTTGATATCAAAGACTTTCATTCTAAAATCCAACTTTTTTGTTGTTGTATCTTACTCATTATTTACCATTTTTGTTTTCAAACAGGAGCAAGACAATGATAAAGAAGCGCATGAGGAGGAGGAAGACACAGTCTTACTCGCTCATTTACAGAAGCTGAGGACTATGTCGACCAAACTATTCCGCCTAACCCAGGCCATCCAGAAGATGCAGTCTTGTCTGTCTACAGCCCTGCGAGGTGACTCTTTGAAATTGCACATTTCTTATAAATTTTTCTTTTGATCTCCGAACTGGTTGACTTACTCTTGTAAATGAAGCTCATCAGGAGCAAGCACAAACTACTGTCAAATTATAGAGGAAATCTGACAAACAGTATTTTAGTGAGATGTTAGGTCAACACATGTGGCTAGAACTGCATCCGTATGCGTTGGCATTGGTTCTTCATGCCTGGAAATGGAGGGTTGGAGTACTGTTCATCCAACAGTCGTGCACTATTGCTTGAGATTTGGTGATTGCAGAGGTTGTCAGAAATTATATTCATCATACACTCTTTCAACTGATTAGTTTCTTTTGTCAAGTAGTTGAGCCTAATTTTTGCAGTGCACTACAAAGATGTGATTATTGGATAAAAGAATGCTTGTGTGATTGACTTCTGTTCTTCCAGGCATGGATAGAAATCTTGATCTCAGCAGCTGCAGAGAGCTGATCTCCTCATCTACCAAGGTGGTAGATGAGCTGGTCACTGATCTGTCCAAGGAGGGACTAGAGACTAAGTCTTTGCAGCTTCCTTGTCTTCAGACAGTCATATCTGCACGAGATGATCTCCACTCCGCCCTGCAGTCCTTGTCATCGTCTTTCTGGAGCCAGCAGGGGGTGAACAATAGCAGAAATTCAGCTGGTTCGGATAACAGTTTAGAAAATGATGACTCCATTAAAGAAAGACCCACCATTCACAATGCAGTTAGAAATAAAAGTGTGTATAAAGTGGTGTACCCCTTTACTTCAGATGTGCCACTCAGTAACAGCCCTCACTGGGTGTAATATTTATTTGGGTTTTTAATCATAGGTTGTAGTTTAAGAGTTTAAATAAATTGTTACCTTGAAGAAAAATAGAGTGGCAACCTGCTAGGATTCATGTGATTGTAAAAGTACAGGAAACAAACTTTGTTTAAAAAATAAATACCTGCCTGTGGCATTCACAAACTGCAGAAAATGGACACAATATTTCTTTGAAACATTCAAGAGTAACAATTCAACATGGTGTAAAGGAAAATACTGTTGAAGTTCCTTTGATTTTGCTTGTTGGTATGGTAAAAACACACCCTCCAGTTTGAATGTATTTATATTGCGCCAAGTGAATCTACACTTGGCGCAACAAGTGTAGCTTCACATGAGTGTAAATTGTAAGTTAACTGATGTTGGGTCAATAGAAGCTCTAAGGAAAAGGGCAGTCTTTGTCAAACCATAATTTCAGGACTATATATTTTTGGGACATGTTAAGTCAATTATGGGTAGTCCAGGCAGGCTAACTTGTAAGAAAAGGAGAACAATATACTCTTCTGTATGCACCTGTATATTGTATTGCAACATAACATATCACACTATTTGCACTCAGACACTTGTAAATTTTGTGTTTCATGCTAATATTTGTATCTAAACGAATGCTGTTGGAACCATTTTTCATTGCTTTAAAATATAATACAACCACTTGCACAGCTGCTAAGAATCGCATGACTTGATTTCACATGGATTCCTTGTTCTTTACCTTCAACTCACAATACATTGCTGGTACCGTGCACCCATACATAGACTTTTACTGTTACGTAGCAATAAAATATTTTTTCTGTATGCAACATGTTTACATTTATGCTAGCACTCCTATGCATGGCTCCTTACTGAGCATTTTACTTATTGAAAAAGGATAGAATTTCACATTTTGTTTATTTTAACCTTTGAAATTTGTGTTGTATGCCTTGTGCCATTTTTGCTGTGTAGAATTGACCACAATTGGAGAGTAAATCTAGGTTTTGCACTTATTTTGTAAAATTGCAAATCCCAAAACTCAATTTTTGGGAGAGAAACTTGAGTGTCAGCTATAACAAACTCCAAAGAAAGGTGTACAAGCAACAAAACTATCTCATATGTAAGGTCATGACTTTATTTTTAAAATACTACCTGCACTTGCAAGTACAGTTTTCTTGGTCATGGATATCTTTCATGGTGAAAGGTTAAATGTCAAGCAGGGCCAGCTCTTTCTGTGGTGTGCACCAATGCAAAGCTCAGTCAACACTTGCAGCAGGGATGGGAACGATAAGTTGTGGACCCACAAGCTGAGACTCTAAAAAGAAACAAAAAGCAAGCCACTTTTGACCAAGAAAAAAAAGACAAACTGAAGCATTGTAGAAATCTTGAAAAGAAAAAAACATTATTTCAGACTTCAAAGAGGAAAGATGTATAAGTTTTTAATATGATCATGTAATGGTATTAACAATAGGGTTAATAGATTGTAGTAGTAATTTTTTAAGTTTGACCATTCAGGAAACATCTTAATTCTATTGAGCTACAGTGTATCACTGTGAAATATGAGGCAGATTAACAGAACTGAACAAACTGCGATTCATTTTAAGCACTTTTAAGAAAACTAAAAACACAGTTTGTCAGGATTTGGTCCAGAAACTAATACTTAGCTTACCACAATTAATTGCCAAAGGTTTGAAAACTAGTGACACTTTAAAAAGTTGCTTTGTTCCTGAAATGATTTTTTTTTTTTTAATATTTAAATGACTAGACCCTAACAAGTCCACCCTCGGGCCCCCAAATGTCCTTGAACCCTACTTTTATCACCCTCTGCTGCTGACTCCAGGCTACACCCACTCATCGTCTGCGTAGCCTCATCTGCATCCTCCCTTCAGGCTCCCTGGAGTCAGCAGCACTTCGGCTCTACTTTTGCATGTGAAGTAAACACACTTCAGAACGGACTGATGGTACGTTCACAGACGCAGTTTGACTTGAAATGAGAAGACGACCAAAAGAGACGAACAAATCAGGTAAAAACAATGCGTTGTGTTTTTAGAAATCACTGTTGGATTTGTCGCTTTATTTCCAGCTAACAAAGTGTTTGTTTCAGGATGCACTGGTTGTATTTCCTCATTTTATCTCTGCTTGTAAGTAGTCTTTATTTATTTATTTTTAACCAGTACTATGCGTTTCTCTATTTGGAATGTGCGTTCCTGGTAAGCGATCTAGCAGACGCAAAAATATATAGGCTATATTTTTTGCTCTAGAAGTTAACAAGTTTCATAAGTTAAGATGAAAAACAAACACGCAACTAACAAAAAACAGCGTATTATTTTGTATTTATGTTGGTTTGGAAACCACGTGGGCAATCTATTAAATTGAACACCTATGAGTTTATGGAAACTTTAATGAACCTGAAAAAAAAATAATTAAAAAGGTTAAAGGGTAAAATGATAAATTTGTTCGGATTTAAAAACAAGTGCACGGGGGAGAAAGCAGTTTTTATTTCATTTCTTATTGGGCCACTAATTCGTTTTCATGTTTGAGCCTTTCCTTCTAATTTAACCTAAATTGTTTTCACAGCTGAACTAAACCTGGTTTTGTGTTACAGGTTTGCGTTCAAAGCTGGATATCAGGTAAGTTAATTTTCTTTTATAAACAAAATAGCTGCAGTGGTGTTCTGCTCTGCAGCCCATTTGTCTGTAGTCACATTTTGCATATTTCCTCTGTTTTCAGCTAAGCTTTTTTTTATTTCTATTTCCTGTTACGCTTGAACCAAGTGATTTCATTTTGTGGTTGTGTTTCCTTGCTTTTTTGCATCCATTTATTGGATATTTATTAACGTCACTTCCTGTTGAATATTTTATTGAGTATTCTTTAGTGTCGATCACATTTGGAAGTTCACATCTGTGAATCTCATCTGTGATTGTAGTAACGCAATTTCACCTGGAATTTTTCTGAAAAATTTGACCCTTAATTTGAGAACTTTTATTCAGAAACTCATGTTGCAAAGAAGAAAAACAAAACTGGTAAGACATCAGTGGCACATTTGTTGATCAATTTGGGAGTTGCAGTTTCAGGAGGGAAACCTTGGCATCCCATTCCCAAGTAAAAGGATGCCTGACACGGGAAACTCGAACTCTACAAATCTAAACAAAGCTTATGTGAAGGCTAGTCAATATATATATTTTTTCGGTTAATATGGGTCCTCTTGCTTCATACTAAGTTGATGACAAATAGCTCTGGGGAAAAAAAGGAGATATCACTGCAAAATGATAAGTTCTTTGATTTTATTCTTTATAGGTTAATGTTTGAGTAAAATGAAAATTGATCTTTCATTCAATGAACTACTGACATCATGTCTCTGAAATTCCAAACAAAAATTTAGCATTTATTTCCAGAAAATGAGAACTGGTCAAAATCACAAAAAATATGCTGTGCTTTCTTACCTCAACTAGTGCAAGAAAAACAAGCTTATGTTAATTAATTTAGAAACAACAATTCTAACTCCAAAAGAGTTAAAACGTTAGAATTTAAGCTGCTACCCCCGCGACCCGACCCCAGATAAGCGGCAGAAGATGGATGGATGGATGGATGGATGGATGGATGGATGGATGGATGGATGGATGGATGGATGGAGAGTTCACAAATCAATATTTGGCGAAATAACTTTGAGGTTTTCAATGGGATTCAGTGCAGTGGCCTCAATTTTATTCCAGAGATGTGCGTGGAAGAGAACCTTAAATCCACTTTTATGTACAATTTGTGATACTGTGAGACAGTGGCTGCTTTCAAAGCAAATCTTGTTAGATTTCAAATTTAGATCTGCTGAACTAATACAGACCTGGTGACCTAATTCACATAAATTGTTCCTCAGACACAAAAATCAAATTCTTTCATCATCAAAACTCCCCTAAATCCTATTAAAAAAAAAACCTTCAGGAAAATCTGCAGGGAGGAAAGCATTAGTTTTAGTGGATAATCTAGAGATCTTTCTCTCTGAACCTATCAGCTGATATGTAGAGAAAAAGTGCAGCAATCTAACATGTATGACAAAACTCATCAGGATATAACTGAACAGGAATTTAGTCTTGTTTATTTATTGGAAACTCATGTTTGTGGAAACAGAAAACTCAAGTCTTTTCATATAACAGGTCAGCTTGTGACTAGAAATCTTAGAAGAATCATCTAGCCTGAGAACTACATGGAAAATGCATTACTTTGTGCTGGAGCAGTGAAGTCTCACATGCTTTAGGCAAGTCATAGAGGTATTCCTCTCAGTGAGACACCCAGATGTTTTTCAGCACTTACATCATCACTTGGAGAGTGACTCATAGCGAGTGCAACTTATCCACCCTTGTAATGCATGTTTTAGATGTGCACATACAAAAAAGTAATTAGAGGTCTGGCAGGGGCTGAAGAGTCCATTTACTGTAAAGACTTGGAAAAATCTCATAAGGCTTTTGTAGATGGCTGGAATGCTGAAATGACATCAAATTGTTTAGATCTTCATCACATCATTTGCACAGTGAGCTGGTTCATATGGAGAATAATTTTTAACGTTTTAACTTTTTGGATGTTGCCCATATATTGACTTCAATTTGGTGGAAGCTTTTCTATCAACTTATTCTCTCTGCTTTTCAAATAGCATTAAGAGTGAAAAGGAGAAGCCAGCCATATGATGAGTTGTACTACAAGTATTTTCACCGTGCCCTGCAATGGAAGGATGCGGAGGAACTATGCAAGCGGCAGTCTGGGAACTTAGCCACTGTCTCCAACCCGGCAGAGTACCAAAAGCTAAAGAGCTTCTTAAAATACCAGAATATCTCTCGCCATGTGTGGATTGCCAGGAAAACCCTAACACATCAAAAAAGTAGGTTAACTTTGCTTATTTTGTAACCAAATAAGATGCACAAATGTTCCATTTTAGGAGTAAAACGAATCCATCGTTGGTTTTACAATTAACTTTTATAACTACTTCCTTCTCTCTCTGTTTGGGATGAAATCAAAGATTCTTCCAAGACACTGATTTTGGATTTCTCCAGGCGTTCGAATCAGATGCATGGTCAACTTCAGCACACGTTTCCCTCCATGAGCTCATTGACTGTTTGCACCCAACTGCACTTCAAACCAAACACCTTTGGAATTTCCACAGTCTTTTCTTATTCCATTAATGACTTCCAACTCCAAGCAAATCTGACCCAGGGAAACCCTGTGCAGTTGGCTCTGCGGATCCATGGCAAACAAGGGCCTTACGTCAATGCCTTCGAACATGACGACTCCTGGCACTCTGTGTGTGTTTCTTGGAGCCAGGATGACGGAAGCTGGGCTCTGTACGCTCACGGTCATGTGGTTTCAAGGGGGATTGGCATGAATTGTAATAATGACAGCATTAGCCTAAATAGCGTCTTCATTATTGGTCAGGGGCAGGACAGCTCTTTTGAGTCAAATGATGCATTCTCAGGGAGAATCACCAATCTGCACATTTGGGATTGGGTTTTGAGCAGCTGTGAAATACTCGCCATGGAAAATGAATGTTCAACCATCTCCTCTGGGCTGGTGTTTAAGTGGAGTGAGCTATTACTGGAAACAGATGACCAGATGTGGGGGGAAAGCCCGTGTCAAGGTAAAGTTTAAATAAACGGAAGAAGAAAAAAGTTTATGAAGAAATTAAAGGGAAAATAACTCGTGTATTTTAACCTAAAGGAAAAAAAAAACATAATCTCTTAAAGTCCAAAGCTTCAGAAAACTATGCAGCTTTTATTAATTTTTTTTTTTTACTTCACATTAGTTGATTTCACAATTGGGTTAGGTGTGGTTGCTATACAGACAAAAAAAAATAAAAATAAATAATAAAATAAATCTAATGGACACCAGGCCAAAACAGCTTTTGAACACACACAACTAAGTAACATTCCAAGGTCTGAGCGAGGCTCATGCAACCCCCACCCATCTGGCACTTTTGAGTGGAAAGACTTAAAATTTGATGTTGACAGACACTTTTTAATGTAATCTGACTGCGATATAATTGTCAAATATGCCAGCTTCAAGATTTTAAAAGCTCCTAGAAAAATTCCTCTATGGTAAAAGCTGAATACAAGTTTGCATCACTCCTTGCAATCCAAACTTTTAAAGGAAATTGTTGACCATAAAACCATTTTCTTTCATTTAAAAATTATGTGCTACTTTGTCTTTTTACATCACATATAAAGTTAATGGGCATTGAAGTCTGTGCGTGTAATGGACAGACTACAATGTCTGTCCATTGATTTTTGCCAAGAAACCATGCCAAATTTTCTTGGCATGGTTAATTCTCAGAGTATGAATACTTTTCCAAAGCTCTGTCCTGGCTTATCTACAATCGCTATCAATACTAGTCTTTTAAACCACCCAACTGAGGACCAACGGATAAAAATGAGCAATGATGACTAAGTTGTAGCTGGCAAACTAACTCTAAATGGCTCTTGTAAATGTTTTTTAACTTAGATCATTCTGAGTCCCACCCTTGAAAACAGACTTCTCCCTCTCTGACATCATGGTCCCCAGTGAGCCTTAAGTGTCCAAAAGCCTCACTCCCTTTCGTACAACTGAACTTGCAGACATTATAGTATACTCACTTTCTTTCTGACTTGCATTCCATATTTGTTATTTCTGCTCAATATTTAAACCCTATAGTACTCATCAGCCAGGCTCTCTAATGAAAGTGTTGAAGCAAAATACACAGTTATTTTACTCTTGAAACATTGTTAAAAAAAAACATTTTATAACTTACTGGACTTTTTACACTTTAAAGTTTTCTTCTTTTTTTTCAAAGGCTATTTGCATTAATATGAATAGTACATTTGATCAAATAAAAACGACAAAATATCTGGAAGGTTTGCACTGAAAAATAAAACAAGGGATATTTAGAAACTGCATTTAGATTAGTTTTTAATAAATTATGTAAACACATTTTTGAAGTTTTTGATTTAACAAAAGCATTAATCCTACCAATTTTCTTTGTTAGGGAAATTTGCTGATTTCACTGTGGATTTCTTTGATTCGTTGTTGGATGGGACTTCTTGGCGAAACCAAACTTTCACTGTTGAAATTTTCCAGAAAAAGATCGTTCATGAAGATTGTGGAGTGTTTAACCCTGTTACAGAGAGCTGCCTCTTAGAGAGTTGCAACTCATACAACAGAGTTGTTTGTCAATTAAAGAAGGGTAAGTCTTTTTTTTTGTTTTTGGGGGGGTCTCTGCTAATGAAAACCTGTTATGACTGTCTTACATTGGATATTTTATGTTATATTTAACCATACTACATCTGATCGTACACAAGTAATTAAAAAACATAAAAAAGGCATCATAATCAGCATCTCATATCAGGGCAATGGCCAGAGAATAAAAACATTTTGAACACACAATTCAAGAAACTGTATAGGCCGAGTATGCAGTTGCAAATCAAACATTTCAGTTGTGTTGTCTTTTAAAAAGCTCAGTTCCAAGCATCTGTAGCAAGTACATTGAAGTGATTAAAAATAGGTTTTTGGGGTGCGCCTCATGGGATTTTGGTAGGGATGAAATCATAAATGCTGATGAAATCATAAATGCTGAAAGAATTATTACTAATTAGAACTGAAAACTGAAACTGTCTAAAATCCAAACTTTAGTTTAAATAACTTGCCACATAAGGTTTCATCTGTCAAATTTTTTGTATTCGTTGATCTAACAACACTTCATTGCCTATGTTTTTGCAGCAAAGCCCAGTTTGCCAAAGTCTCCTTTTTTCAGTAAACTGAGCAAATATCCAAACGTGACACAGGTAAGTTGTGACATCTAGTTGTCTTTGGAAAAAGTATATTATGTAATTTAATCCTCATAAAGTTAGAAATGTGTAAGTATACTGAAAGAAACCGAAAAAACAGAGCCACCTAGTCTGTGTATATTAGATATATTTTTATATCAGACTACCAAATTTTGACAGGAATTATTTTTTCATTTGTGAAGCCACTTTCTAATTTTATTTTATTTCCACAAAGATGTTGTTTTGGACTTACCTAATTGGTGCAAATCATTTAGTCAATTCAATGTGGTCCAGAGCTGTTTGTCTGTCTGTGTCTCTAGGTAATGGAGGAGCTAAGCATCAACACGTCCCAAAACAGAGATTTGACCTCCCTGCAGCAGCTGACTCAGGCTGCTGTGCATACAATGGAGGCTGATGGCCATCACCCCTTAAACTCAATTGACATCCTCCACTTCACTCAGTTGATTGATGGCATTGCAGCCAGCACCCACTCTGCAGGAACCAATTCAGCAGAGGTCATGATGTCCATTGCTAAAAACTATTTAAAGCTAGCAAATGTGATGCTTGAGCCGCAAATGGCTACGCAGTGGGTTAGTCGGACTGAGGATGGGGTGAGATAGGATATTTTGTTTGTGTAGCAGTAGTTGATCATCAAATTTTCAGAAATTTGACCCTATATTAATTGTGATTTTTTTTAAAAACTGTTTTCAGGTCAACACTGGACCATTTACAATTATCAAGAGCATTGATAGTCTCACCGAAGCTCTTGCAGACACACTGTCTGTGCAGCGAAGGAACTTCACTCTCTCTACTAAAAACATAGGTGATGTACTGTTTTGAATTATTCTTCACATCTCGGAGTTTGCATCTTCATACACATAACATAAACCACGAATAGTATAAAATAACAGATCCTGTGTATATATTATGCTTCCTGTGCTATCAGATGTGTACCTGAAGTGGCAAAAACTTTCTCCTGAGAGCAGCAGTCAGGTTTTCAAGCCATCTGCAGTCTCCTCTCACAGGCCCAGAGGAAGTAGTCACAATGAGCTGGTTATCCCAGACTCTGAACTACAGCGGTTACATAAATTAGGTAGGAATTAAATATGGTCATCCACAACTTATGTTTTTATGCCATGAAAAATTAATGTCTAGATTTTAATATTTGAAACAGCCATCGACAAAACGTATAAATTTAAATGGTAACACTGTTATAGGTAGACAACCTAATAAGTTACATTTATTTTGTTGCCGACTCATTGCCACTTTCTGTTCTTTTGGTTGTCACCAATCTATGATGGGTTACACATTAAGCTGTTCTTTCTCTGTGAAAACAGGATGTAAAGAAGTGATGCTTATTCATACCCACTATAGTCATCTCAGTGAGGTTGTGTCTGCTGCAGAGAAATCTACAAAGACTCAGCTAAACACAACAAAGAGGTTAGATACCATTGCTCCACCATGAATGTTATTCCGAAATAAAAACAGTACATCTGAACTTGCTTCAATAATTTATTATCTCATATTTCTAATGAACTTCTTCTATTGTTATAATTCATCAAGCAAAACTACCAGAACTGTAGAAATATTATCAATTTTCTTTGCATCAAAACTGATGCTTCTGTATTAGTCATCTGTACAACGATTTGTCCTTCAAATAAATGAAGCCAGTAGATTATTTTAAAGAAAGATTTATGTTAGTTATAACTGTCCTTTGTCTTTCTAGTACTCTTCCAGGCAAACTAACCTCTGCTGTCATATCAGCGACTGTCCGAGACGTCTTGAAGGGCCAAACCGTCCCTGTGGCCGTCCAGTACACCCTTTCATCTTCACAAGTGGTACAGGATGTTGTTCATGGCGCCTCATACTGTAAAATAATCTTAACAATTACATGTACTCATTCTATTATTGAAGTTACTATTCAAAGTCTTTTTTATGCATATATTTAGTTTCAACCAAAAGATATAATTTAAACAAAATTTGTAAAATCTATTTCTAAACAACAAAATAAGGATTCATTTCCCTGAAGGAAAGAGTCCAAAATGAAAGATGAATAATACATTTGAATAAAAACATTGTCCTCTGACATACAAGAAGAGCATTGATTTTCTTGAAATAGTAGGATAGAAAGGTTTGGGAAGATGCATGTAAAATTCTGGAGAACTCAATGTCGACCTCAATGAATACAGCCTGCTAATGGTTACACTCAAAGCTTTTGCCATGGTACAATTAAGGGAACATGCTGGAATCTTCATGGTAGGATGCTAAGAGATTTGTTCTTGGTTATTACAATAATTTGATACTTTGCTATTGGAAGAAATGGCAAATAAACATAAATGCATCTTTTTGTTTCTAGATGAAGTATTCCCAGAGAGTTCCTCCTGTTTGTGCATTTTGGAATTTCAGCCTCATGTAAGTTTGACCAACAGCAGATCCACTTTAAAAGACATGGCACATTTTTCTCTCAATGAGATGTCAATGAAATCAATAAATGGCAAGATTTGGGTCGAAACATTGGTTTTAAAAAACATATTTTATATGATCAGACTTAAATATTTCATTCCAAAAAGCATAGCAAATCAAAGTGTATTGTCATGTTAGTGTTAGATACATTAATAACACACAGATGTATGCGAACCAATGTCTCCAGTGACCACTGGACGAGAGACCGAGTACACCACACAGGGCAACACATAGGCAGAAATGACAAATATACTGTAGATGCACACACTCACCCCGGAGGACAATAGCCAGAGCACCTTGTGATAACCCATTCATGCATGAGGAGAACTAATGAACATTTATGTTTGTGTCAATGCTTTTGTGCTCCATTATTTAGGCATAGTCACGGGAGTGGCTGGTCCAGTGATGGCTGCTCCATGATCTCTGTTGGCTCCAGTGATATTTCATGTCTGTGTAACCACACAACCAACTTTGCGATCCTGATGAATTACTTGGAATCTAAGGTAACAACGCATTTATTGACAGGAGGTAAATGTCTGTTCATATATGTGAAACGCCTGCAGCTTAAATTAGAGAATCAAACACATTTTACTGTTATATTAAAAACATTCAGTCTGACCCGTCTTACAGTGAATTCCATGGCATTAATAAGTGGTAGTTTCTTTTGAAGCATGGGGCAAGGTTTGAATTCTCGAGATATACTCATATATTATTTGAAGAGAACTCTGAAAAAAGAAAACAGGTGACCCAAAAGAGGTCAGTTAATTTGTTACAAGTTTTCAAATTAAGCTTATTCAAGCAAACATATGGTGTATTAAGTTGTCAGGTTAAATAAATGTAAATAAATTAAGTTTCACTAACTTAATTTGATTACATGTAACAAATTAACTAAGATTTTTTAAATCGGAGCTCCGTTTTTTTTTTTTTCAGCGGAAGCTTAGATGTTTACATGTAAAACCAAGCAAACAATTTATGAGGTGACTATAATAACCATAATTAATCTTAACTCTCGTTTAGTGAAGTTATAGAGCTTTTAAACTTTTATTGAAGATGGATATCTGTATAAATATAAAGATAATCAAGATTTGTGGCAGATATTATGGGTTTTAGTCTAATACACAATAAGTAGTTGAAGGTGTGAAATTTATTTTTTAGTTAAAATATGCTTAATCTTAGACATTACACATGAGAAAACATTGAATAATAGAGTCTTCACAATCTTCAGTTCTAATGTCTTTTCATGTGAAGATTGTTAGTGAAAGGTATAGCAACATAAAATTTTAAGGTTTACTGTATGATTTACCAACCAAATCTCCATTTTAGAAAAATTCCCTCTCTCATTTTGTCTCTGCCATTACCACGTGTGTCCTCTGCTTCAGTGGAGTCCTGAAGAAGAGCTTATTTTGACCAAGCTTACGTTCATCGGCTGTGGGGCATCTCTCTGCGCACTGGTGGTGACCTTGATGCTCTTCACTGTCCTGGAGTGAGTAGCTGTTTAAGATTCCTGTTCTATTCACAAATGATGCAAATAATTAGCCTCTTTGCTGTCACAGCCAACAAACTTTGAATTGTTTTGATTTGCCTTAAACTTAAGAATAAGCTTCTTTTCTCACAGCATTCATTCAATGGATATTTGCTGCCAAGTTTTGGCTAAATGTTTTAATTTAGATTATTTATGGTAATAAAATGAATGCTTATGTCATTACTTTGTCTTACTCCTATTAGAAAAAATTGTTGATTCACACTCCAGAATAGGTATTTAAATGAACTGAAATTACTAAAAATACACACATTCATCTGGCATGGGATGAAATATTGGGAGTTTGGCCACTCCCCTTCTGTCCCACAGGCTTTTATCAGTATTGACTAGTGCTAATGCTGTAATTGCTGTTGTCTACATGTGAGTCCTCTCCGAAGTTTTATGGTGGAATCCCACAGCTGGCAATTAACATTATAGTCACATAGGGATCTCAATCAGCAGAAGAGGTGCTGCCCTGGCAATTTATAAATGTCCTCAAAGCAAAGAGGGCAGCAGTCCATTTCACACATTCTGCTGTATGATCTTCATTTAACTCATCCCACTCCACAGATAAAACACTGACTGGGAAGGTGGAGATTTGCTTAGAGACTGGAAAATTTATTTGGTGTGAAGCACCAATGCTGACATTTGCCTAATTGGTTTAAATAACTGAGTTTTCATTGAAGTTGTTGGACTGCTGCAGCACATTATTTAAGAGAACCCTAGGGTGTGTCAGCTTGCTGTGGTTTTAATATTTTGATGAAAAGAGTTATTATATTATTCTGTTGTGTCTAAAATGAAACATCCTAAATTTATTTTAGGATGTGTTAAGCAGGAACAAAACAATTATTATTGTTACCCATTTAAATGAGTTTTATTTAATCTGACAACGGATTCTGTTATCAATAAAAATGTTTATTGCCCTTAAACAATTTTATTTTTCTGGGAAACAAAATTGGAAATTAAAGTTTTTATTTCCATTTCCATTATTTGCAATTAAATCTCAGCAAGTTGAACGCATCATGAGGCAAATTTATAGAATTAGATCAGATGCGACTAGAAGTGGTATATAATAGACAATAGAAGTGCATAAAATAGTTGGATTAATTTAACTGAATTAACATTTTGTCCACTGTTTTTAAAACTTAATTGTCACATCCTCTTTCTTTAACTTAACAATAAAAGTGATCATAAACGTGGAAAAATTTGTTCTTGATTTCACTAAGTGAAATTGATGTTGATTTTTTTTTTTTTTTTTACATATTAGTCACACTGAGCTTTTTCAGTATATCCAAGGAAATAATGACTATAATTTGGCATTTATCTTTTAATTTACTTAGCTACTTCAAGAAGGTTTTGTTGAAAACTTCAGCCAGAATTAGCTTCCATTTGGGTTCACCAACACCTGTCCTCATGAGGATTATCAGGCAGAATTAATGAAAAATTGACACTAAATTTAGATTTAGGAACTTGTCTTTTATAGTCAAAATCATAGATTTACACTTTAAAGTTTGTCTTTTCGTCCTTAACTTCAACCAATTGACAATACAAAACAGATTTATGTTAATATGTTTATTTTATACTTTTGTGGGTAATTGATTTAAGTTTGCAACAATTATCTCATAAGGATCAATAGAGAGACGAAATGAAGAAAAACCTAAACTTTCATTTGAATTCAAACATTTTAGCAGCACTTGTATGATGTGATTCGGTCTCACTAAACATTTTTCCTTTAAAATGTCCATTTCTGTGTTTATAGCATCCCTAAATCAGACAGGACCTCCATCCATAAAAACCTGTTTATAGCTCTGATCTGTGCCCAGGTGATTCTGCTCTGCAGTGGCTCCGCCATACATAGCAAGGTAACGTACAGGCAGTAAACAAATCTTTATTTATCAGTCTGTATGAGTAATGTTGTCGCTCTTAGGGACAGGTTATGGACAAATGTGAATCAAATAAGATAGTAAAAGTTTGCTAATGGGAAAATATGGCTTTTAACAGCAGAATTGTGCCGGTTACATGCATGTTTTTAATTTTACTCCTGCAAGACATACAAATAATATTAATAATGAAAAAAAAATATTAAACTCATAATTATCAGAAGGTCTAATTAACCAAACACTATAAATTGTTTTGCTTCTACTTGACGTTAAATATGTAAAAACAAATGGAAAATAAATAATTATGGCAGATGGGGTAACATAAGTGACCATAAAAGCTGTACCAATCAGCTAGAAGGAAAAGCTTGTGGTGGTTACTAAGATGGCTTGTTCTGCTAGTCAAGACAATTTTTTTCCTCCTCCCTTCTCTGAGGGTGAGAAGGGAGCTTGTTGGTTATTTTAGTATTAATAAGGTCTTCCATAACAAGGCCTGAAATAATACAACATTCTTAACTTGTTTGAATGTTCAGTGTGTTTTATAATTTTATTGCAATTCATTTGTTTTCCAACATCTTTAATTTATGGAAGCTGTATTTAGAGGTGTAACCAGAAGTTGTCATGCACTAATTACAAAGACACATACATGTTTTTTCTCACTGTCTGAAGTGAAATCAGATCAGAATGACTGCCGTTGCATTAAACATTGAGAGGAATGCCCAGATGGTGATGTCATGTCTTTGGAGACTTCTGATTGGAGTTTGGTCTAATATAATTTCAGACAGTAAGAAATTGTGTATGTGTCTTACTAACAGGTGTCTGAAAATGTTATTTTCAAACTCTCTATGACAATCATGACACAGTATTTTGATCAGTTATCATAGTACATATCATGTCAACCATATTTAATTATTTTATGAATTAACCTTCTGTGAGACTTCTTTGCAATCATTAATTTCAAAGTGAAGTGAAAGTCACTGCATAGCTTCACTTTGAAATGTAAACCAAAGTCTTGCATTTTTTCTGTTTGTGATTTTTATGTAATTGTAGGTGGCATGCACACTTGTTGCTGCACTGCTCCATCTTTTCTTCATGGCAGCATTCAGCTGGATGCTGGTTGAAGGGCTGCTGCTCTGGAGCAAAGTAGTTGCAGTGAACCTCAGCGAGGATCATCATATGAAGTATTACTATCTCATCGGTTGGGGTATAGTGGTTTTATGTATATGACTCTTTGTCTTGTCACTGAAAAATCAAAGCAGGTCTGGTGCCTTTATTGAAACACCTATAATAAGTATCTTAAACATTAAGCAGATATACTTTAAAATTTAAGTAAATCTTTTATAAATAAAAGACTTGAGCACCAAAAATGTTTGTAATCTCCATGTGTTTCCTGTTTTGTAAATTCAATCTACTTAATCTCAAGGAAATACATTTTTTATCCTAATATTACCAGGTCTTCCTGTGCTGATCGTCACCATCACTCTTGCATCGGCCTCAGGCAAATACTCAGCTGATGACTACTGTTGGCTCAGTGTCCAAAATGGCATCATCTGGGGATTTGTTGGTCCGGTCATCTTCATCATAATGGTCAGAAATTTATTTATTTACTTTAAGTTGATGATTATGCTATTTTCACTATTAAAGTGCTAAATAAGAAGAACATTCAAATTTTGTGTGTCACAGTCCAACTGTTACTGTGACCTAACTGTTGGTCACTTCCTGGAAATAATTCTTTAGAAAAGTGTAACAGTTTCATTTTGTTCAGCAGTTTGATCATTAATTATAAAGTATTTCCACTTTTTTCCTTCAAGCATGTGAGCTTGCATTATAATATTTTTTAAAGGTGATGTGAGCTTGCATTATAATATTTTTTAAAGGTGAAATCACATCATTAGATAAGAAAATCTGTAATCATTTGTTTGCACATAACAGTCAACATGAAAAGACATACAGCAACATAAGAGTGACTATATGACTTTTTTCTGTTCTACTTTCATTTGTTTAAATATATTTCCAGGTCAATATCTTGGTGCTGACCAGGGTGGTAATCATCACCATCTCTACAGCAAAAAGAAGGTCCATTATGCTCGCCTTGGGCATGAGTCCTGCTGAGCAAGCCTATGAGCAGATCAGGTAGTGGCCACTAGGAGGCACCATTTGTTCTCTTTTAAAAATGAATGTGTCTTGGATGCTGGACGACACACAAGTCAAATCCAAATGTATTTTCTTTTTATCAACCTGCCAAAATATATATTTTAAGTAGCTTTACATTAATGCTGTATATTTTTTAAATATTTAAATTACTTTAAGTTTTAACTGTCTTAATGTGTTGTAATTTCATGTAGCTTTTATAATTAAAATTTCTACAGTTCTTTCATGTTTGTCCTGCTTTTAATGGATGTTGATGTCCTTTAAGGTCTGTAAGAGTTTTTGGTTTACAACAGTGTACCATATCACTCTTTTTGAATTTGATTCAGACAGTATAAAATGTATCATTGCTCTAATAAGAGTAAATTTTTTGCATGCGACATACACTGCCTCTATACACGATTAGTGTTAAAATCTGATGGTAACACAAATAAACTGTGTATTTATGTGAATGTTTTAATTTGTGGGTCCACTGAGGAGCACAGTAGATGCACTGTGAGAGTTTTCAATGCAGGCCTTGAACTGTGTTGCACCTCTGGGCGGCAGTCGGCATGGAAAGTCAAACACATTGGCTCGCAGAATAAACCAGTTCTAGGTGCATGTCATTTCACAAACACACAAATGCACAGACAGCTGTTGTGGTTTGGCAGTCATCTGAATGGGAAGCTAATTTGACTCTAAACAGAATTAAGTCACATTGAGGGTGGGAAGTTGTCACCACATCAGCTTTCCTGCCCACATGGTTTTGTGTATGGAAGAAGCAGCCTGCCGGAGCTGCTGGGTTTTCTTCTGAAAGGAGTTAAAAATGTGAGGGTGGTTATTATGTAAGCTGGAAGAAGTAAAGCTTTATATAATCAGAAAGGAATCCGAATAGTTGAATAATTTTTTAAAACTTTTTGTTTGGGTCTAAAAATTATGTAAGTTCAGATCAAACTTATTTTACATGTTCCAATATCCGTTCATAAAATTCAGAGATGTTTTTTCAAGCATGTTTTTTCCTGTGCATATTTGAAGTTTTTCCTCACAAAGACTCGGTCATTGGTTTTGTTCAAGGAAGAGTTGCTGTTCAAATGAAATATTCCTTGACTTAAAAAAAAAGTTAATTAATATTGACCTGAATTGGAAATTTAATAAAGTTGACTGTCAGAACTTAATCAGATCTTGCTTATGTTTCTTAGCTCAGATTCACATGTGTGTGGTTTGACTTCCTTATTTGATTTATTCTTGTATTCATGTGAGTGCAGGGCCGCAGTGAAAGCAGTGTTGGTGTTGCTGCCAATACTTGGACTGACATGGCTTTTTGGAGTTTTGGTACCATTTTCCATCGTCATGGCCTACCTCTTCATTCTTCTCAATTCCTTACAGGTATGCATACACACTCATGTATGTCATTAGAACAGACATTGAGGACTAAAAAAATGTGATATTACAGAAAAGAAACACTTCACATCCAAAAGTTTTTCATTTAATTTTTACTAACAAGAAAAGGTTAAAGTCTCCATGAATGTAAAAACAAGTTTAATGGTCCCACATTCATGCATGTTTTTTTTATTTATTTATTTATTCATTATTATTATTTTTTACATGGGATAGATTCCTTTTATGACTGTACAAGGTCTCTGGACCAGATATAAAAAGCACAAATCAATGAAAAAGCAGCAATAGACAGATAATTGCACAATCTATTTAGAAAATTGATGTGGTACCATTGGTAAAATATAAAAAGAAGAAAACAATATATTGGATGGATTTTAAGATTATTTTCTAATGAAAAGAAAACAAGAGAACAAGATTCTCTGAAAATTCCTTTCATTTACTCATCAACTGAAACATTGAAGTATCAATGTTTAGTTTCTCATTTGCTGTCAGTGCAGTCCTCTGCTGAGGAACTTTTTTATCCCTGCATTCATATAAATATAACTTTAACATGTGCTGGATAAACACTGCACTTTCCAAGTACGGTGACACCACACAAACTTATCAATATACATGTTATTCATATACAAAGGAACACCTCTATAGCTGGAGTAATGATGAAAGCTTATATAGCTATTTCTTCAAATCTCTAAGCTTAAAAAAACCTTTACACACATATCTAAACTGTAAATATTATTGCGATATTTTTATCTTTTTCTATGGTTGATTAAAGCCACCTTGGCACATAAAATTGTCATGTTTTATTTCACTTAACAAAAGAATTTTGAAAACTTAAGATCACTGCAGTAGTTGGGAAAACCTGCTCAAAAATGTGTCGTAAGCTAAAAAACATTTTTTAAATTCACAATTTACATAAAAAAAACAAATATGGAGCTGATCATTTTACCTTGCATTGTCTTTATAGAATCACAATGGACATTAAATATATATATTTATAAAACTAGCACTTTATCTGTTGCGCTCATTAGTAATAAATAATTTGAATCAACTGATCTACACACAGTTTGTCATACATTTTAATTCACAATTAGGTCAGTACTTTTTAAAGAACAGAAATGATAACAGAAGTTAGCAGCACTGTGTTGCTTCTTGGTCTTAATTGGAATTAGGCCCCTGAATGAATTTTTTGCTTAGGGCCTCAATCAGCCTTGCTCTAAGTTTGACCAAGAATACCCATCCGTACTAATTCCAGTTTTATCTCTTTCCTCATTTAAAACTACATTCTGGGTACAAATGTTGCATATATTACATTAGGCTGAATTTAATTCCATATAGTGATTTGTAATAATGTAATATGTCATAAGAAGTAGTTGTTCTAAGTTTTTATTTTTTTTATGTGAAGCCTTTAAAACAACCATGTGCTTGTTACTATTAGCTGGAAAAAGACAAAGGTTGTAAATAACATCACAGTTTAAGCAGTTTAAACAATATTTTGTTTATAAATCAGAAAGAAAAAGGTTTTCTATTAACTTAGCAACTATGAAGAGGATACGAGATATAGCAAGGTGTTTTTACTTATCATTGACAAATATAAAGTAAAAAGGGGAAAAGGTTGCTATCTATGTGTTAAAAAGAAAATTACTTTAACACGAAAATTGTACTCTAATTGCTCTTTTTATTTTATATCTGCTTTTTTATATTCAAAGCTCAGTATTATTGTGCTTTTGTTCACATGGTCAAAGCCCCTTTTTGAAAATGTAATGGATACTGTACTGTTCTTGCTGTTTTATATTTTTTGTTTGATATTTTATACACACACATTAATGTTCAAATATCCATCCATTCTCTAATAAGAAAGGTACCTGATTTTCCACTTTTATGAGTTATTTTCTACTTTCTGTCCAAACAGAAAGCTTGAAACATATTTTGTTGCACTTTCTCTGGAGCAGACCACACTGGATTTCTATCCTTCCCCCCACTTCTCTGCATCTGCTTTTGCAAGTTGTAGTTATCTTTTAATCAGCTGTATCTTTAATTGAGCTGTATATTTAACCGGAAAATCAATAGAGGACTTAGCTCCACTCTAATCATTAAGTCAGATCCTTTGCTTACCATAAATAGTTTCTGTTTCTCTCTCATATCTAATTATATTTTTTCCACGTCGACAGTAATTAACACTGAGGGGTTTACTTTGCTCTTGTTGTAGGATTGCACTGTTTAACATTTTAATGTCTGATATGGATTACTGTTATGTGTTTAATTCTAACTGGCTCTGTCTATTCAGCTTTTCATCTCTGAATCCTACATTCTGTTTTTCTTAGTCTGTTTCCTTTTCTAAATTTTGTGGATCTTTTATGTTTTCTCTTTTTGACGATGCGGTCTGGCCCTGGTCATTAATTAAAAGACACCAAATGATTTAGTCACTTATTAATTACGCTTTTAATCAGTGACCTGAACAAAAGTGACGAAGCTTTTCTGTTTTTTCTCGTATAAAGACAAAAATTAAATTTTTTATTAGTTCAATGTTCTTTTAATGAATCAATGAATTTTCTGTGATAAAAGCAAATAAAAATGTAAAACGTTAAAACATTTCTTCCTGGAAACATTCAACTTTACAGAAAACACCCTATTCTGAAGAATAAATATCCAAGTGGTAATAAGGAAAAGTTCGTGGGCTTTTACATTTTGGTAAACCACTGATACATATACCTAATTTTAACAACCGTACAAGCATGTTCAGACTCCAAACTCAACCATATTTAATGTTGTGCAGGTGATTTGGGTAACGTCGTTATTCAACTGGCTTTTATGCCAGAACTGTACCAATGAGTGAGAACAGATTTAAACAGTTTTCTCACATGGGGCTTAAATAATATCCAAGGTGAAACTGAGACCCTGTTATAATCTGGCTTCTGAAACATCTCTCTACATTTATACAAAATATACATGTGAGGTTTACAACTTTAGGTTTCACTTCAAACTAACTAGCCTTGAATGGATTGGAGTCAGAGAACTCAAATCCAAGTTCAGCAGGAGTTGAGACTCTGCAGCCACTCTCCCTGTGCAGGGTAGCACCTGCTCTGTGTCTGGAATGGAGGAAACACGTTGCTCTTATTACTTCTTATAGCCTTTAACGGTAATCTAAAAATATGAAATAGGTTGAATGAAGTCATCTGTACAGTTCCTTGCAAAAGTTCACTTTTATCACATTATAGCCAAAACTTCCAACATATCCTGTTGGGATTTTATGTGTTAAATAAAAAAATATGCATGATTGCAAACTGAAAGGAAAATTGTGCATGGTTTCATGGACGTCACAATAATTGTGTGAAGACGACTTGTCCTCCTCCCAGTTGAAAAAATATAACTTTTTCTTGTGGAACATTTTATGTCTTTCATGTATTCTTTAAAGAACTAAATCTAAATCGGTCAAAATTTTGATTTTGACAGAGCAGACAAGACCTTAAAGAAAACTTGATGCTATTGTCTGCTAGAAAAAGCCTAATTTGTGCTGATAAAGGTGGTTGGAAAAAAGACATAGATTTCAGAATATGAATTAAGTTGCAATTTATTGATAGTATCCCTACTAGTGGTTGTGCTGATACAAGTATGGCCAGTTGCTCCTTCATGTCAGAAAAACTATGGCTGCAGAGTGTGTATGAGTTATAATTTCTCTTTTTTTTCCTCAACTCTCAGGAAGCTGGTTCAGCGTTTAATGTTTTTACCTCACCTTGGCAAATTTCATCATCTGTGCTCATGTTTATGTGAGAGTTTAGTAATGAGCGAAGCTGTGGTCTCACAGAATTAGCACTGGCCATTTTCTCTGTCTTTGACATTTTTTGTTTTACAGTGTCACAGTACACTTGAGCTGAAGACAGCCTGGCCATCTTCAGTGTCAACCATCGATTTGTTAGAGAGTAGACTAAATACCATTCACACACATTATTAAATTGATATAACCATAAAACTGGGACAGGCAAATTTCTGGCAAACAAATGACAAACCAACAAACCCATAAATTGGTAAGAAATTTTAACAGTGTGTTTTTTTTTTTCTTTTTTTTTAATTATTATTATTTGTAGCTGTTATATTGTCAATGGGCCCAGCCCAAGTAACACAAAGCTTAAGCAGCAACCTTTTATTATGAAATCAATAAAACAGATAATGTTGACAAGCCTTTTCTTATAGCTCTCCCTGATGCAGCTCGCTCATCTCCCCCACTACAATCCTTACAACTACAAACTATCTCCACCGTTGTTATTGCCTGAACACGTTACAGTGAATAAAATCACAGCTGATCTGGCATTAATGTACTTTGGCCTTTCTGAACTTGTAGAAAGCACTATTAAATTTTGCTTCAATTTTATGTCCAGAATTCAGGCTTTGTATTATGCTCTGCTTAAGTGGAAGAACCACTCCTGTGATCATCATGATGTCTTATTTTTTCTAATTCTTTGTTTTTATTTAATTCCAGCAATCAAATGTTTGCCATTTTTTACTTTGCAGCTAAAAGCTACTGTTGTCATTTAAGTTGCAAGACTTGTACCTTTATAGTAACATTCTCAAATCAGACAACCCTTTAGAGATGCACCAATCTCCAGCTTCTTTAACCATTCACCTGCAGATGCTGATTTTGTCAAATTCCAGTGGCTCTTAAAAAGTTCATAGTAGGAGTAGACACAAAATCACATTGTGTGTGCTACAAAACAATCACTGTAAAATCTGTATTCTCCAGAGGTCTACATTCATTTTGATTTACAAAAGACTCCTAGAACTTTGGAATTCAGTTCATGGAGGAGATCAGACATGACAACTTGGGGGTTGTCTATTCAGTACTCCTTAATTTACTATCTCACAGCATAAATGAAGTGCAGATGCACCCCAACATGTCCTGGAAAATATGTTCTCCTTTTGAATAGCTCTGCTTCCTGTCACCTAATGAAGAACACTTCCCTGATGCTAACTTTTTTTTGTCATCTTCAAACTGT